TCAATATCTGTTTTTGAAGCTGTTGAAAAACCCAATGCACATCAAACAACAGCAGGTAATAACAGAGATCTTTGTTGATTCTATATTATTAAGGCATAAACCATGTATTGATCTTAAAAATCCATCCTTTATTCCTTTGGACAACCATTTGTCTAGTCCAAAAAAAAAAAAAAAAACTTCTTGCGATTTCTTTGGCACCTCTTCATGTCTTACACCATAAATTCTTCACCTCGCAGCCAGTGAAACTGCAATATATCTCCACAGGGCCAACATAAAATCTGCAGTAACATAGCTGTGGACTCTAATATTTTGAAGTGTGAAGTTTAAAATATGTTGGGACTTACTGACTATAGAGTTAAAAAAGCGATGCTATTTAAGTGCGTTTTTCCTGCATCCACATATAGGGTTCTATAGAGTTTTTTTTTTGTTCTTTTATATAGAGGACATCGAGTTAAATGTGTTTATTTAAGCAGTAACAAGTGATAAAGCAATAACAGAGTTGAACATTTCAAGAGCTTGGTCATCACTTTAACTCACCTCAGATTTGCCGCGGCTGAAGCAGGCTCCCTTGGTGAACTCATCACAGTGCCACTCAGCCTCCTGTAGAGGCAAAGCAAAGAAGTGTGAGGCTCTCCAAAAAACCATCACACAGAAGCAAACATCATATACATTTGGAGTCGCTCAAAATAACTCAAAACCACTTTTAAAGCCATTTTGGGAGCCCAAATAAAACAATGCCTGGCTCGTGGCTGTGGTTAAATTCCCACCTTTCTGAAGCCATTTTGATGTCTAGTGACTCTCTGAAATAGACCTGGCTATAAAAACACAACAGAAAACAAATCCACCCTGTGCCAGTGCAGTTACCGGTGGCAGCATTGCTGTTGTCTTGGCATCTACCACTGTGGGTGGAATAGATTACAACAAGAAAGGCCAGTGCATTTGTTAGGCATTACATCTTAACTATTCTCTCAGTCTTCCAATCACACAGCCACACTGAAATGCATCAGTGTTTCAAAGCCGCACTAAATGCAGACACAGAATCCAATTAAGGTGCAGAGGTTTTAAAAATGAGTGGAAAGCAGAGAAAGAGTGGAATGCCAGTTTGATTAATGTTTAAGGGAAAAGGAAGGAACTGAAGTCACAACAGGCGAATCCCCAGAGGAGGATGTCAACTGAATTTACATGTGAGAAAGAAACAGAAGGATGGCTTGAACATTTTTTTTAATCCAGGAGGGAAAAAAGAGAGAAGATATTAAAACCCTGTCTCATCACCTCCTGATATCAAGACACATCCATGCTTCAGTTTCTAACCATTTAATTTCAGTGTGACCTCTGGGGAGCTGGCAAGCTTCCTCATTGATAGGAGTTATCTATTTACGAAATGAGCGTTGGCCTCGGGAATGGATTGGGGCACAAAGGTACTTGACTGACAGGCTGAAGTAGCCCATAGTCCAAGCTCTGTATGACAAGCAGAGTTAGGGACATTTAACAGAAAATTGGCCACGGTGAAAGTGCATTTAACAACAAGTGTTTCAAATAACAAGACAAGCAATCTTTTAAAGCTACTGTAGGTCTCCTCAGCAGAGTCAGTGATCCAGTCCTCTTTGAAAACTGCACCTGTGCATTCTCCATTTTTCAAAGTTGCTTATGACATGAGCTTATGAGCTTTTTTTGACCGATGTTACTGTGGTTCTAAAGCTTTTTTGACCGATGTTACTGTGGTTCTAGTGTCACTTGGCTTGACTGATACATTTGATACTGTTGAAGTGTTAGGATTTAAGGAGTGTCTCTGGACGGCCTGCAGTCATATCTGGGACTTCAGGACTTGCATAGATTATTTTCCCAAATAGTGGAATACACCAAGATTCAATTGTTGGTTATCTCTCTCCACACTTGGTGTCATTAATCGAACCAAGACCTTAGAGGTTGCTACAACAGCAGTCCTTATTCCCGACGCAACCCAACATGGAATGGGCAACAGGGTGAAATGGAACTCGGAACCTTTTGCATTACATCCTGGAATCCTACCGCTGCACTATTTTATATTACAGTTTGCAGAAGGATTTTAATCTTAGTATATGAGCTATTTGAGATTAGACTCCTCAATTAAGACGAGTTCTCTGAGTCCCTTATGGAAAATATTTTGGGGATTTTGTCTGGGTGTTCTTAACAGAAAGAAATTGGGAGTAGAATATCCTACAAGGACATAAATGTACACATAAGCAGTAGAACGAAAAACTTGGTGTGTGTGGAGGATTAATGGGTAATGGAGTGTATGAGTGCTCGCGTGTGTGTGTGTTCCCATTTCTGACTAAAGCATTCTGCATCTACGGTGTGTGGTCACCATCACAGACACAGCTACAATCGTTCCAATCAACAGACACACATAAATACAAACATACACACCAACATGCAGAAGTGGTTTTACTGATCGCATGTGGAGAGAAAGATCTGGCCAGCAATCGTTCTCATTTCTACCCAGTGTGAAAATCAATCATCATACGATGCAAAATTGCAGCTTGAGCCCACATTAATGGGAGCAAAGTGGTTTATTTTATCATTATGGCCTTATTATGTCTTTTATAACCATTCAACATGATTTTAAATGATTTTTCAAAACCCACATATTCGGAGACATCGACTCTATGGCTGGTGTAGACGTTTGTGCTCGTGCTGCACTGTAAGTGGAGGCATCATTGACCACTGAAGCTGCGTTATCTGACTGCACTGCCTCCGATGGTGCAGATTAAAGAACAGAATCACGGCGGTGTCATTACGATACATTAAAAGCTCGTTCACTTGCAATTGTTCAGCCAAAAGATCTGCCCTGAACTAAAATGTTTCAAAAGCTTTATTAAATCATCACTTTTAGCATCATCAGTGCCACAAAATCTCCTACTAGTGTAAGAGTCGGCCGTGTGATTACAGCCAAATGGTCTTTGCTACAGTTGTACAGTAAAACCTAAACAAGAAAATACTTAAAATAAAGTATGATCTCCTGCAGTTACTGCATGAGTGACCTTTGGGCAGCACGTCATGTAGATTCATACTGATGTGACAGATTAATGAGAAAAATTGACTTAATGTTCATCACACCCACCGTCTAAAAGGACCTTACTAAAAATATCAGACAAAAAAGGGAAAATATTTTTGTTTTTAAAGCAAAATAAATTTACTTCAGTAAACTGGGAAATCCAATAACAGAGTTCAACACAGGTAATTTGTCTTGTGATATTCAGTTATTAAAACTAATTCTGAGAAAGCCAGACCTTTTCTAAAGTGTATAATTAAGTTAAAATAATTCAAAAACAGAAATGGAAAACTTTAATTAAGGCACCGAGGAATGAATAGGGCGACTTTTACAGTCAATATTTTTATATTAACAGAAGACGCGACATAGAAGACAACTACATTTTATTTATTCTAATGAATGCAAAAATTGTGACATTAAAACGGGTTATTAATAACGCTTAAATGAAAGTCTTGTAACATTTTGAAAAGGTTGAAATTATTATGGCTGGTTTACATTTGTCTGTGTGTAGGGTGATAAAATTAATTAACTTTAAAGAAAGTCTTCAATAAGTTCTTTAGGCAATGGTTTAGTACCATATTACAACAGCTCAACAGAAAGACACATTGATCCAAACAAAAGGCCAGAAAAGTTGCACAGTAATGACATGATTGGGAAAATGGTTTGTCGGTGGTAAGTTGCCACTGTGTAAATACTGCAAAGACTTGGCAAAAGTTAAAAGCATTTCCTTACCTTTGTAGTGACTTACTAAGGTTTATCCTGAAGCTAGTTTGCTGTTTCATGTTTTTGGCAACCATAATGTTGGTCGTGGTAATCATACTATGGCATACTCTGTCTCATTTCCTCTGATGCTACTGATGAACATATTAAACCTACAAAGTCTGAGATAAAGTCTCTTTAAGATGCAAAAATGTACAGTAGACTAAAGCCGAGGTAACTCAGCACAGTTGATAAACGACAGGTTTTGTTCTGAGAAACTGCAGAAAAAAAAAACAAAAACAAAAACAAAAAAAACAAAAACCCAAAACTGAGGCAGAAACCTCAGAGACGAACCATTGTCCTCAAACATCACATCAACCCTCAGAAAAAGGAGCTATTGTGACCGCAAGGTGGGTGTAGAACAGATACTAGTGGGCAGGGAGGGAGAGATAGGCACAAAGAGACAAAACTGAGAAGGGAAAATTTGAGACAAACAGAGCAGAGAAAAAGAAACGAGTCTCACTAAGGACTCAGTCACTGCAGGGAGACAGAGTGGGCAGAGCGAGGGAGTCGGAGAGACGGTGGGAGGAGAGTGGAGCTGAATTCCAAAACAGTAATGTTTCCAGACATGTTATTGAATACATTAATACATTTTGCATAAAGAGTGTCAAGAGAACATGCCCAATGCTGACAGCTGCCCTGCTTTGGGAAATGACAGGCTGTGCGGCGGTGGAATGAGAGTGAGAGACGGACGCATCCCGCGGGGAAACACTAATCTGTCCTATGAATGGCTGATATTACCTCTTGATATGCGAGTGTAGTATTGACTATCAGGAATGATGTCCAATGATAGAAGCTGCTGAAATATTTACACTTAAAACTGGTCCAAATGTGGAGCAAGTACATGACACATCACCGCATCGCCATAAAACTTGGAGTCGGCGTCAAAACGCTCCTCGTCTGTGGTTAGTGCTCAGTACATTTACATCACATTTTCACTTAAAGACACGCTCTGATATCACAGACAGGACTGGGATCTGCATCACAAACACCACTGGAGCCTTTTTATTCCATGCATTTAAATGGCCGAGTTACCGGCTCCTAGTAATTGAATTAGCAATGCTTCCAGAGCTATGGAGGATAGCTCCTGTTAGCGACTGATTAGCAGGGCTAATTGTCTGTCTGATTAAGTGTAATTGCAAAAGACAGGCTGGTGAAATACAACAGGTGATACGAGAGAAGGCTCTTTTGTTTTCCTCAGAGTTTCCTTCCTTCTTTATAGCATGACAATACGAGGGAGGGCGAAAGAAAAACGGTCGTACAATGTACATCTCAACACCGCACCGTGTCTATTGCCAAGGCGAGCTGTTATGGATAGCATTTTCTTGTGCCAGGGCTGGAGGAAGAACGGGAGGGAGGGGCTGGAATGAATATCCACTGTTTTTTTCCTCTGGTGCTACATTCAGTGGGGAACAGTGCCACAGATCCTCTTCATCCCAGAGCTTGCTGACTGAATAATGTTGGACCACCAGGCTGGTTAGGTTGAAACTCAGCGCCTGCATCCTGTTACAATTCAGCCCAGGCACAGCAGGCTCATATTGGATTTTCAGAGGGAGGGGTTCTGATTGGCTTGCAAGTTAATAAACACTTAAAGCTTTGATATGAAAGACACTTTGAAGCATAAATGTAAAGTGTCTTGTTTGAGAAGGTGTCCGTGGGTAAATTTGGAGAGATGGGGCTCCAGGGCACCGGGGACATTGTATGAAAAGCACTTTGGCATAAAACAAAGCTAAGAGGAACATCCAGCAGGCAGAGTCATTCATCAGCCCCAGGAACAAAATGCAAAATTGAATACAATGCAAATGCAGAAGGTCCCAATTCATCAGTGTTTGTCCTCTCTCCTTATTGGGCCATGGAAGGTGCATAATGGTGATGCCAGTGTCAATTCGTTCGCCCAAGGTTGGTAGCAGCCAGGGCAGAGAGCAGAATGAAAAACGGAGGAGGGCAGAAGGACACAAGTGAACGGAGCAGAGTTATAGCTGGACGTTCCTGTCGTTGTAGGAGGGATAATACTCTCTGGCTCTTCTTTTATTTAAACCACTTGGAGTCACACTATGGTTTATATTGCTACAACTTAACAAAATAAATATATTTACATTTCGCTGCTAGAGTTCCTTACATTTGAGCAGATTAACTATTTTTTAAAGCCATCTGACTCCATGTGTTTCTGCACATCACAGAGGTGACAGTGGGGGTTGGGTTAAAGGTCATGCACATTAAGCGGTGGTTTCTATCCTTGGCCTTTACCCACAGAGACAATTCAATCACTGAATTGTTTCACAGTAAAGAAACTCAGTATAAGTTCAAGTGATTTACTAACTCTAACTCTGGTTTAAAGTGGTTTGAGGCATGAAATAAAGTAAAAAATAGTGGAGAATAAAAATCATGTGATGAAATCATTTTCGGTGTACGTGACTAGTCACGTGACTTCCTGTATAGTTTCACTATCCCGTCATTCAGATTTCTTCTCATTCGAGAGATAAAAATCCATAAACTTGAATCATTGTGTACAAACTGGAACTCAATATGCACACATTTATAAATAAAGCAATGAGAGAACCATCTATTTCTGTTCTAAACAGTGAGCAGATCAGAGCGGACGGTAAGATGACATCAGAGGAAAAAAAACTTTTAAGTACCAGATATTAACTCCAATCAAGGACAGGAGAAGGGTCGACCCTCACTCTAAAACCTGACTGCTCCCACTCCAGCCCACATTAGCATTCAGCTGGAGTACATGCTAACAAGCTCATTCGATGTCAAGGATTTTCTACTTATACATGATCCTACACTTTGATCCTGAAAGTGATGCCCTGTTGTGTAAACCCTCCATCAGACGAACCTTTCTATTCCTTATAAGTGACTGAACCCTCTCTTTTCCCAGGACATGAAAGAGCAAAACTGAGAGGGTGGCCTCAGAAGACACAGAACTAATGAAAGCAAAAAAAAAAAAAAAAAAAGTTCAGAGTAAGCACGGCATCAACACATTTAACAAAGGTCCTCCTTTTCTTCTCCTCCTGCAGTTCCTCGGCTGTCCTCTTTTTTCCATCCACCTTAAGCAAGGCATTTACTGAGAAGATTATAGTTTCTGGGGCTCAGACTCAATCGATTTCCAGGACTCGGCTCGATATGTGCAATACACTGGGCTGGATCAGTGGTGTTTAGCTATTGCCACGAGTGTCACTACATCCTAACCCCCCATAATACAATGGTGGGACTGTCAGGTATTCACAGTTCATTTAGCTCCAAGAAGAAAGCTGGGAAATCACTCCACTAAGTCCTGAATACTATTTCACTGCCTCTATGCATAATACTACGTTAATGCCCGCCTCCCCCACGGCGCCCCCATGTTCTATATGTGTTAAATATATTCAAGATAAATTGAGCCCATCATCAATCATAAAGTAATTATATCACCCTCTACTGTAGGCTTTTTGTGTTAGCCTCAATCATGCACTGTGCTGTGTCAAACCACACCCAGCCTCCCTCTTGGTGGTAGCCATGCAGGAAATAATGGCTTCCATTGAGCATTATCTGACAGGGCTGATGCATGGGAATGGGGGTAAAATCACAAAGACAAATGTGGGCGTCGTTTATTGATGTTTTCCCTCCTTTTGTGGAAAAAAGAAGACTCCTTTATTTTCTTTGAAGATCTGTGCAACTGAAACAGAATGCACTGAACTTCTAAGACAGCGTGTGCCTCCAACTTCGTTTCTTTGTTTGCCAAAAACTTGCCCACAAGTCTGTCACAGCCACCTGGCAATAACAATTGGAAGTACATGTAAACACAGCCGTGGAGGAAACTGGATCTCTGTGTGATTACGTCTCCAACTTAATGCCAAAAGAATAAAAAAAGAAGAACTCTGAAGTGCCGAATTTCAGCATTTGGAGTTATCTTCTACTTGACTCAGTCACACATAAATCTATAACCTTTGACCCCAGTTTTGGCAGAGATTGTCAGATTGAATTCTCTCAGGAAAAGACAGTATTAAAGAGTCAATTTTTTTTTAAATATCATTGATTTAAAAGCATGAGCCAAATGTGGGATGGGTGAAAGAGAGAGGAGAGGCTGATTGGGTGCACAGAAAGGAAAGAGTAACTATAAAAAGCATCTGTGTCACAGTCAGTGGCCACAAAACCCGAATGCCTGCATCTTCATCTCACATTGGGGGGTTTCCTCTGCTCTCTTCCCTCTGTCTGTGCTCTGTGAATTCTCTCTCTGTGTGAGCTGCCCTGTGTCACTTCTAATCCAAAAGAAAAAAGAAAAAAAAAGAAACTTCTTATTTCGTTTGACAATTTTCCCTCATCTCTACTTTCCATCTGGATTTATATCAACACTTCTGCCTTTACTCCCACTTTTGTTCCAATCCGTCTCATTCTTCCGTGTGTGTTTTTCTCCCTCTCCTACAGCTTTAGAGGGTGTAAATGTCTGACATGGTGTCAGAACCTCCAAAGAACCCTGCTGCTGCCACATGTCACCGTTGCATTTTGACTTGATGACCTGCACAGTGTTTTGGCTTTTGGGGAAAGAAAAAAAAATGACAAGTTGCAGGAAATAAAATAGAACAGAAATATCCGGGGGCAGAAGATGAAATTTGGGCTGAAAAAGGCATTATTGCTTCCTCCACTTTCATGCTAAGTCAGGACACTCGTCCAAAACTTTTCAGGAAAATCCCAAAGTTATAAAGCTTTCTATCTGTAATAGCTTTTCTATTTATAACAATGGGATTTTTGCTTTTGTTTTCATGATTTTAGGACGAGGTGAAAAAACAGAGATGGTTTTAACTCTGACTGTTTTATAATTGGAAAAGTTTCTGGTGCATTAACTCACACTGCTGTCAACCCCATTCAGTCGAAACTCTGTTTCAGTGGATGGGTGGTGGTTCATGTGACCTGAGAAATGCTACACAATTTTACCGTGACAGTTTGAAGTTGCGGCAACTGGCAGCTTCATACTAAAATTAAGCCACTGTGTTGACTGCAGCAGACTGGGTGTTTGTCTGAGCAGACAGGTTTCAACTATAAGTTGATATAGGAATCTATTATATGTAAGTAGTATAGAAAACACACTCACCTGGATCAGTGTCAGGTCGTCCAAGTTGAGCCTGAAGAGATGGTTTCTGTAAAGGGAGAAAACAACAAAGTGAGTTGACGATGGAGCCGTTTACTCCGCGTGAATCATTTTTCAAACGGGCTTTGCCACAGCTGATAATCTGCATATGTGATTTTGCACAGATGTCCTTCCTGACACACCCTTTCCCAATTAACTCCACAAAGGACTGGCATTAGAGGCTGTGCAAAGAATAAGAAAAAGATGTTGATGGCAAGAGAAAGTTGCTCAAAAGCCAAAACTCCATATTTATACGTGTGTTCTCCCGGCACAGCTTTCAACTGAGCTTTCTGCGACTGTGGAGCCAACAGTTCAAAAGAATCTCTACCTACAAAAAACAAAACAAAGATTACATCTGGTGCAACCTGGCATCGATATAAAACAGCAGTCTGTTTTACCTTTAAATCAATGCAGCTGTCATCTTTTTTTATATTCACAACACGTTCTAAAAAGCAAATCTATCTATGGGGGCATTCATCTCATAATCAGTTGTGGTCAAGTGAAATTTCTGTGTTTCTAATCTTGGGGCAACAAACACATTGTCTGAAGTCAATGGGCCAGTATTTCACTGTTATCTTATCTTCGTCTTCAAAAGCTGGCAGCCACACTATCCAAAATGCAGCTAAACACCAGTAGTTCAGTCAGAAACGGCCGACGCAGCTTTAGGCAGACATGTGGAGCAGACAACAGAGGTCTGCTAACAGAAAATCATTCCAGCTCCACACATTTCTTTCATTTTCAAGCTCCAGTCTTCCAGCCAACAATGAGTCAAGTCAAGTCATGTGAGATAATTAATCAGATTTTATGCTCCATCTGGAACCACGAAATATTTTATGCAATTTTCCTTTTGGTTCCAAATATGCATTACTACGCCCTCAGATCTGCGAAACACGTGGATTTGTAACGTCTGCACGGTTCCCAGTTAAGTGGTGCTTGTACTGTAAAGCTTCCTAGCATTTGCTTAGGAAATCCTGACAAAAATATTTTTGTAAAAGCCTCATATGCAGACACCAAAAATATAAAAATGTAAAAAAAAGAGAAATTGAAAATGAATTTTTTTATTAATACTGTATAATATCGTATCTTATATCAAATCCAATCAAGAATGTTTAATACAAAATCTACATATATGCTAATTATAAAGACTGATTAAATTACTCTTGGACTTTTTGGTGATAACAGAAAATTATTTTATTTTTGACCTCAAATTTCTTTACATTTGGCAGGACTTGGTCCAAGCATCTCCTTTAATTGTAAGAAACAATGAGAGTGACAGAAATTGATAAATATTTCAGATTTATGGAGTTTTATTCCCCTTGAATGGGTCTCCAAACAAGGAACAAGTGAGGCATAAACAAAGGAGTTCACTGCACGGTTTTAACCTTTAGAGAAACCCTATATGTTATAGATATCCTCCTCAGGAGGAATGTGGAGTCAGGCTAAAGCCTCTGCTAAAACCATTCTACCCAATTATATGACTGAGATCACTTGAAACCTGACAAAAAGGACTAAAAGCTTTTTCTGTTTTAATGTGATTTTTTTGTGAAATGTCTGCATTATCCACATTTTTATCTTCGGGCCAGTCTTAACCAGCCCCCAGTTGGTGCTAACAGTATGAAATATCGAACAATTTGAGTGCAGTTTCACTGCAAAAACGTGGACATTTACACGCAATATGCCAAAAATTTTAGTTATGGTTTTTTTAACAACGTATAAAGTGCATTTCTTAGTATAATACGTCTCCACTGTGCTTTTTATTACGACAATATCTCAGTCTGGGGTTAAACTCCTCCAGTTTGTTGTGTGTGCGTGTGTGATCACACATTTACATACACAGACACACACATATTTTGGGCCCATGCTGCAGAGATCTATCAGTCATGTGAAGAGTGGCTATCAGCTGTGTCTCTGCAGCCCCCCCCCCCCGCTTTACTGTATTGATATTTGCATCGATCCTTCTTTCCTTCCATTATCACTCATACTTCCAGTGCAGCCTACAACCATTCATCCATCCAGCCCCCGTCATCTTTCGCGGTTGGACTCCAGAGAAGCGGAGCCAGCTCGGAGCATTGATCTTAATCTCTTGCTTGATCTCCTGAGTGCCGGAGACACAAGGTGTTGATATGACTGACTGACTGACAGCTAAAAATAAACCAACGGCAAAAAAAACTTTATATTTTATTATATTATATTATATTCTTAATGTTTTTCCGAGTTTGCTCACCTGTTCACCTCTGACTTTTTATCTGTTCGTGCCACACAGTTTTTTTTCTTGATTAGCTCTTTCCAGCTAGGAGCGGAGGCCGCGGTGCATTAGTAAATTCCCTGGGCTCAGTTTGTTTCTGTTTATTTTGCTGCTCCCCTTCCTGCTGTTATCTCCTGTTGCCGTTGTAGTCGGTTTCTTTCTATTGACAACTAAAGCCATTAAGAGAAGTGCAGAGTACACCTCATCTGGAATCAGGCAGCGTGAATACATACACCCTCTCTCCCTCTCTATTACAGACACACACACACACACACCAACACACTTTGCTTGACTTGACAAAGGCAATATACATGGAAACATTCTCCAAAGCTTTTGTTGTCTGACTTCTTTTGAAGGCGTCTGTAAAGAAAGTGATTATTGCTCATGCGTGGAAGAAAAACAGCAGAATAAAAGACAAGAGAACAAAAGGAGAAACCAGTGTTGCACATTCACTCAGCTCATACCTTCACACACTCTACAGGTGGTGTATGGAAATGCAATTGCACAAGTGTATTGTAGCAGACTTTTGAGTGACTTCATTCTTTCAGTTCCTTACTTTATTGTCTATGTGTGAGTCAATGTTTATACATTTACAACAGGTGAGGTTGTTGTTGTTATTTGCAGGTTCTATCATCTGGTCGGTGCAGGGTGAAAAGAAATCAAACATCAACAAAAAAGTCACTCTGGCCAAAGTTTGGTGTTTCTCCTGATAAGGGCTGACGCCGACCATCGGACGACTTCAAAGAATAAAACAGACCGTGATGACATCAAACCACTGCGATACTGACAATTTCCTGCTGCGTGATACAAGAGTGAAAGGGCAGCTCCAGACAAGAGACAGAAGACAGGAAAATGAAAGTCACGTATGGGTTACCTGGCTCCGACGATCAGTTCGTTCTGGCCGGGGTCGAAGGTCAGCTGTGAGTAATCCACCGTGCCCTCCGTCTTGAACTTGGAGATCCAAGGCTCCATCTCTGCCAAAAGTACCACAGGACACAACACAGATGAGCCAAACAGTGCTGGGGGCTTTGGACTGCAGTGCTGACTAAAAAGATGTTCAACTTTTTTTTTATATACCACGTGTGAATCATTTGGGTTCAGCACATTAAGGGATGTCTCAAAACTCAACTAAAAAAAAAACATGTTTCTTAGCAAAAAAAAAAAAAGATTAGATTCCAATATATATTATTGTTCAAAGATTTACATAGGAGTCAGGAGAAACATTTGTGTGTCAAGGACAATGGCAGAACCTGCTACATAATGTGTGACTCTGAGCCTTAACAATGTGTCAGGAACAACCATAATTCTGACTATTATAACAATGTTGGCTCTAAAAACCAATGTAGTTAAAAACAACGCTCACACCGAGACTGAAAAAACAATGGAATTGAGTTCTGTTGTCAGTAGTGCATAAAACTAATCAGCTACATATGATATCATGCATGCATTATCAGTAATTTTGTGACAATAAACATTCATTACAGCTAAAATGACACTTTTGAAGGCACGTGTTGAACTCAAGTACAACTAAGAATAATTTCATTTTCATTCTAGGCTAATAATATTCATCCATATTTTAGAAAGGGAAGAAAGTGCATTTAATTTTTAATCGACCTAACACCTTGGCAAATCATACATTGCATATTGAAAACAATATACATTGAAAATTATGGCGTGTTATTAAATTTGCACCGTTGTTGAGGATCAAACCACTTCACAGTCCATAATGTAGTTAATATTAGCATGGTGTCAAATGGATCCATTTAAACACTGTTACTGCATGAATATTTTTACACAGAAGTATTCTCCAAAATGTTTTAAACTCTTCAGTAGGAGAAGGAGTCTTCTTTTAATAAATGAATGGAAGTTATTTTGCCTGACAACTGAAAAAAAGACCATAACATTTTTCCATACAAATCAGAATACACTGCCCTATTGCTGAGGTCAATACTATTGTCTTGCAGCAGGGCTTTGTCAAAAGAAACCAGGGGTGAATAAGGAATGAAAGGCTTAGAGCTGTCTCCTCCTGATAAGGTCACTTGTTAAAAAAAAAATCATTTTACATGGATCAAAGTACTCAGACATTAATGGTTCCTGGGCTCCTTCTGTGGTCTTTAAAATCCACGTGACCAGAGCCGAGATCTGTCTTCAGAAGTGGAGCCCTAACAATGTGCAGTCGTTCAGATTTCTTATATCATGGCTCAGTGTGACATCCAGTTTGTTAAATGTCCTTTACAATGAAGAGATTACTGAGTAAAAGATACACGTCAGCACATGAAACACGAAGCGTGATGACCTCAGGATGGATAGCGTAGAGTGAGATCTTTTAGCTCGGTGACTACATGTAGTTCATAAAAAAAATAAAACAATAGGG